CTAGAATTGTACCACAAAATCTTTTTAACCTTTTTTTTTTTTTTTCCTCCATCTCTTTTAAATAAATGCCTTATTTGTCATTTTGCAGTAAAATAAAAAAATAGTAATCGGTCATTTAGCCTAACCATTTAATATATTTCCCAAAATTTCATTTTTAATTATTAAATAATTAACTTTATTTTAATGGTATATATCATTAAATGTGGCTTCTTCCTTCTAACTTTGTTTATTATTAATTAATAATACTTTCAGATTTCAGACAATTTTCTCTGGCATATTCCTGAAACTAATTCTAACAGTATGATGACGTACATACCATCACGAAATTTAATACAATTAATTTTTGCTTATGTATGCTTTGAATAAATATTAAATACATGAATTTATTTTAAAATATAATTTAATAGATTTCTTTCATTTAGTTGCAAAATGCCATGTAATTAACAAATTTTTATGTTTCCAAGTACACTGGTTATCATAAATGAAGGAAAAATCACAAAATAGCGATAACTCCTCAAAAATGAGCCAAAACCGTGTAAAATTCAATATGTGCCAAGTAAGAGTAGCTGAATGCAAATTAGTGGCGCTGCACGGAATACGTCATCTGTGAGGAGAATATAAAATCCAGTTTGAGAGCAGCCTACATATTTTACTGATAGTGAGTATTAGGATTTACATAGAACAGGATATGTCTTGCTAATGCACCGTCATAAGCATCCCCGCAGCAGAGACTTGGAGATCCATTGGGAGACTAGAGGCAGGATAAAGTCAAGCAGACGTGGCCAGATGGCTAAATGCGAATCCTTCTGTGGTTCGTAGACTTTGGAGGCGATTTCAAACCACAGATTCGGCCTCTAGGAGGCTCAGCCAAGGACAACCGACTCCTACGACGAGCGCTGATGACCGATATTTGACATGTGCATGCAGGAATAGAACCGCTACTCTGACTCTTCTTAGATCCTCTCTTGCTGCACCCACCGGAAGGTTGGTGTCAACGTCAACTGTGCGTAGAAGGCTTCACGAAAGCGGTCTGTATGCGAGACAACCAGCCATTTGCACGCCATAGGAGATACCGTTTGCAGTAGGCACAACAACATGTCCACTGGACGCTTAATCAGTGGAGGGCTGTTCTCTTTACGGATGAGTCCAGGTTTACTCTAGAAAGTGATAGTAGGTGTTATTTGATATGGAGAGAACCTGGAACCCGTTATCATCCGTCAAACATTCGTGAAAGAGATGCATACGGAAGGGGCAGTGTCTGCGTTTGTGGTGGTATCTCTTTGGGTGGACGCACAGACCTCCATGTCTTTCCAGGGGGAACCGTGAATGCTGAGATTTACAGAGATGACATCCTTGATGTTTCTGTGTGCCCATATGCCGGGCCAATAGGTGATGCTTTCCTGTAACAGGATGACAACGCAAGACCACACAGGGCTCGCATCGTAGATGATTATCTTCAATGGCATGGAGTGGCTAGCTCGATGCCCAGACTTGAATCCTATTGAGCATGTCTGGGATGCTTTAGGGAGATGTCTAGCTGCTCTCAATCTCAGGCCCTCTTCGTGCTTGCAACTGCTTTGCAAGAGCAATGGCTCTCGCTTCCTATGGAACTGATAGACCGCATAATTGAAAGCATCATCAGGGTTGGTAGCGGTCCTTATAAGTGCTTATAAGTCCTTATATTTGAAAATAAAATATAAAGGCCCTTATAGGTGCTTGCTTTTTCTTTAAAGCCCTTATTTTTTTGTTTTTAGTGCTTATTTTTTGCTTTTAGTGCTTTTTTTTAATGAACGCGCTATTTTTCTCCGTACCAAAGCCGAAACTAAATAAACAACTTTTCTTCCTAATATGGAATGTCAGATGATGAATCATACTCCCGGAAATAGCTTTTCTTCTTTCTCTGCATTAACATAACCTTTGGTGTGCACGAAGAGTACAGACAGATGCCCGTCGTTCTATTGGTCAAAGAATTGCGAAAGCAGTAGAAAATTCCGGTACGTTCGGCATTCATTTCGTCCCACACAAATACTACACACATTTGAATTTCTATCAAGATCTTAATAATTTGCATTCTCGTTCCGCTTGGTCAGTTCATATTCGTGTTTATTATGATTGTTATACTTATATTATGAGCATATGTATCAATGTTTATAATAATATAGTTGCGGTAACTGCTGAAGTATAGTAAACTTTTAAAAATGTTTGTGTTTTGACACAGATTAGCTTTCTAAGGAATAATATTCGGAATGGCTTAAATAAAGAGAAAGTAATCGAATAGTAAAAATAATTTTGTTTTTTTGGCCAATACATTATACAGTATGAAGATTGGGAGGCTCTCCCCTTTCTCCGCAAAATCTCGAATATTGAAACTGTTACAGTTCGCTGCAAAACAAGCAACGTTTTTTTTTTTTTTTTTTCACTTTCCATCTGGATTGAATAGGACTAAAGTTCTGCTCGTCTACCAACCCAAGCAAGATGGTTCGATTCCATCCGGAATTTAACGTCATTCAGAATTTAGATTAAATTATTTAATATCAGTAGGTGGAAAAATAAATGTACTTGTTATTAGGTCCAAGCGAATACAAGAATATGTCTTATTATCTATTTTCTATTTGGGAACGAAATTTCATCATTAAAGCTTGGAATATAGTTTAGTTTGCTAGTTTTTTTTTTCCTCATTTGTAAACTAGTTCTGTAAATTGAACTGTTTTAAAACTTAAAAAAAATAAAAGTAATTATTTCCATGGTTGAGGAATGCTTATGTCTCCTTAATAAATACTGCATTTCATATTTAAATTACAAGTCTTAATTTTTAAAGTTATGCAGTTGTGTATAATGTAATTAGGCAGGTGCTTTTTTTTTTCTTAAAATGTGCTGAAAAGTGCTTATAGGCTTATTTTTTTAACTAAAATGTGGCTATGAACCCTGATCATGCATCACTGTATGTGCTGTATTGCTTCTAGAGGCGACCATATTCAATATTGAAGGTTCTTTTTCTATAGGAAATAGACACCTTCAATTTGTTCATTTTATACATGTGCTAATTTCTATACTACCATAATTGTCTGGTAATTTATTTTTATGTTATTTGATACCTTACTATGTGTTGTATGTAGTGGATAAGTTTCATAAAATTCTACATGTGACTTTTTCAGTAATCGTGATTTTTCCTTAATTTATGATAACCAGTGTAGTACCATAATTTACTTTTCAGCGTAGCACTACGTTTATAGACTGGATACCTATTACTGAATAATTTTGTTCCATAAAGAATCAAAACTTGCAAAAATACCCTCTGGTGGTTTTTGCCTTAATTATATAAATAATATGAAGCATGTGTACAAGTGAATCATGAACATTCTCCATATTTCTTACCATTAGTATCATTTAGTTTTTTAGTATTATATTCATAATGATATTAAACATCTAATATTTGCAGTCTGAAAGTAATTAACTCCTTAAGATCTGGCATTGCACTTTTACAGTCTGTAGTATATCAAGGTTAATACATTCGTTAAAAGTCCTTAGGTTTTTTTTTAAAATTGTGTTTTGTCCAGTCCTTAATTTCGGCCCAAACCGGTAAGGTCCTTAATTCTCATCTGACATATCTGCCTTTTTACAACTGCCATTTTGAGTGTGAATTGGCATTTTGGAGGAATGTCTTTTAGTGATGCATTGAAAAATATATGTTTGATGGGGTTAACGTTTGAATTCTTTCCTACATCTTACTATAAATGGTGGATACTTGAATTGTAGGCACAAGGCTCTGGCTGAATTGAATAGTTAGTGAAAAGTTTAAAAAAAAACCCATTAAAAAGAACTTTTCCCTTTTTGGAATAAGAGTTTTTTTTATTGCGCTATGCCAAATTGGTGGCGTGTCAATAATTCAGCTATTTCAAAATCAGTTTGTGTAAAAAATATTTTATTTGAGATTTGCAAAATTTTGATTTATGTATTTATTTTTTTGCAAACATTGTAACATGGTGTAGCAACTACACACACACCCTAACAATATGTAAAGCTTGATGAAATGGTACTTTAAATGTACAGTTATGCTAATATCATTTTAGAATCTTTAGTGATTTTTAAATGGATATATTTTAAAGAAAAAATAAAACTATAAATGTAACTATATAAATCTATTATTACTAAGAGTATCTAACTGCATAATTTAATTATTTGTAACTAACTTATAGTTATCTCCTTTCCTTAGCCTGCATTATTTATGCAAAGTACAACACCAAAAATGCAAAAATGTATTTCTTACAGCTAACGAGACTTAAACAAAAACTAAACTGACTAAAACAAGTATCTCTGGTGGCTTATTAGAACTTTATATAAAATACTGTATATTAACAGTGTTACAGCTTTTTTTTCCAGCAAATCTACACGAAGTTATGACACCAACCAGGTCAAAAGGCAACTAACTTTCAGCACTTTCAAATGTCATACATTCACTTCTGTTTTAATCTGCGGTTCTGTTTCTCTACGCAACTGCAGTAACAGCAGGTGCTGATTATCATTTTACTTCACAGTTTAAATTATGCCACTTGGCATAAAATTTGCACATACGTCTGGACTAAGCGAGTATGTGAGAAAATAAGGCATAAAAAAAGTATCAATATAAAGCTAACTGTTGGTACAATTTAAATAAAAAGCTACTAATATTCTTTAAACTTTGTGGGACTTATTATAAATGTTTATTTATGTGGGACTTTTATAAATTTTGCGATTTAATGCTAGTTGAAAAAAAATTAGTGAAATTAATTATATTCTTGAATATGTTTTTACGAAAGACCCTCCAGTTTAGTATCTTGACTCCCCTTTTTCCAACATAAATTTTTGACACATTTCAAGGTGCATATGGCTTGGTTGCATAGAGGGCTAAAATTGTTGTTTTGGAAAAGTTCAGGTATAATGATTGATAAGATGCAGCTTTTTGTATTTATTTTCCCCCAAAAAAAGTTATCTTGAAAAACTGATTTTCTGCATTCTTCCAGGGAGACTCCAAAAAACCTTTCACTGAAGTTAGAACCTCTGTCCGAAGAGTGGTGCTTCTGAGGAAAAAATCCATGAATAATGTATGTAAATACTCATGTTTATGTGCCATGATGTAGTTATGTAAAATTTGCTTAACATTGAAATTGCAGCAACAAGGAAAAAGTTGTAAGGATATGCAGATTAATTACCTATTGTATATTCCGGCACACTTTTAATGCTGTGAAAATAGGATTAAAACTTATAGGTGCACATTATATGCCAAATATAAAAATGATAGATTAAAAATAGAAAAATCAGCATACAAAAGTGTACATTTTTCCATGTACTTATGCTGTTTATTTAAAGCAATGATATATCTTTTGAACTTAAAAACTTTTCATTATTGGAAATACATGAAAAGTTAGTCTTCTGTTTCTTCAGATACATCGATTTCTGTTTCATATTCACTATCACTGTTACTTTAATCCATAAATTAATTATCCATTCCATCCTTCACCAACACCAAATATCCTTGCTGCGGCAATATTTTCATTTTCTTTCACAAACTCATTGAAAATGTTTCAATCATTTGAAACCAGCGTTGTGTTGTTTCGTTTGGCAGGAGCCATATTTGCTACTAAAAGAAATGCTAGGTCAATTGTAATTTAACTAAAGCCTTGATGTTCACTTCAAAAGACCACAGAAAAATAAAACACCCGAATCATAATTCCGCAAATTGTTTCTGGTTGGATGTACATTCTTATTCCAAATTATGTCTTCCTTTTCTCAAAATCCTACAATAGCATTCTTTTGGACACTTGCACTGAATATAGTGCACCCTCATTGTAGGTATATTTACTCCCTTAAGCATTTAACCCACACACATTTTCCCCCTTATCACTTGTCAGTTCAGTATATCATTGTTCGAAAGGCTAGGACAAATCTTTGAACAAGTGACCTCAGACAATAAGCACATATATCTTTTAGGTTTCTTCATAAAGAATTGAGTACGTGCTATATGACGAATATACCTAAAAATAAAAAATTATAGATGTGCATTATTATATGCTGGAAAATAAAGTAATTCTCTTGTGATTTGATAGTGCAGTGTCTCATTCATCAACATATCTGTTATCACTTAAAGCAGAAAAAAATGTAACCCTTGAATTCAGAGGTGCTGTTTACCACTAGACTAGATTATTATGAAGTGCTAATCATACTATAGAAATGATCTTGGATTCTTAAGAGTTAACAGTTGACCATTGCTTTACCATGGGGTCAACAGGTACCCTTTCACTGCAACTTTGTGTGATTTTTCAAGATTCAGTACTTTTCTAACATTACTGTTTGTTATATGTGTATTGTGCATTTATGATGATGCAATGCTTGTAATGAGTTGTTTCAATGAATATGTCCAGACATATAATAATAAAAACCCTGCTACATTAAAACAAATCAGCAGAACTAAATTGAAATAATGCAAGAGTTTTATTTTTACACATGCTCCACACACACAGTCAACACATGGCTCCTAACTGAGAGACAGACGGACTCTCTCTCAGTTCAAAATTACAGTTGAACTGCAGTTAAAAATACAGAGTGAAAAATTAATAAACAATTAGAAATTAGAAAAGATACCAAAAAACGCTTTACAAATTAGTTTGAAATGTTTACAATTAACCAGTATTTTTCCTTTACAATTAATCATTATTTTATAATTTATTATTAATTTCAAGGCAGCAGGCAAAGCCATCTTCGAATAACTGCTTCCTGCATAGTGCAGCCATCTAGTGATGAGATGATGAAGTTCTAACAAATACTTGCTTGGCTTGTAGTTTATAAGAGAACTTGTAAAAGCTAATGACTTAATGCATTTTATGTTTGCAAAAGAGACCAGAAGCAAAATGAAAAAAGAAAAAAAAGGGGGGGGGAGGGGAAGCAACTGTTGTAATGGAATTTTTGTCTCATTGCACCAACAGTGGAAAAATTCCTAAACAGGGATGACATAATTCTGTGCCTGTTTGTTATCATAATCGTTATTTTGACGATGTTTCTTCTGTGTTCTTTCTTTTAATAAAGAACTTATTTTGGAACTATTTATGATAAATGACAAATGTGGAAATCTCGTTATTGGGCATTTAAATAGATAATGCTCTCTCCTAATTTGCTGCAGATGCAAGAATCTGTTGAAAAATTTCTGGGGTAAAAACAGGTAGAAAATGGCCCATGGCCTGATAAAATAGTTTATTTGGAGTAGCTGTAAATTTGTTTGTATAATGGTTTGGAAATTTATTGAAAATCTTTGTCTTTTGTATGTACCTTCATTCCTGTTGACATGCTGTCATTGTCATTATTGTGTCTTGTGCAGTTTCTTTGTAACTTTATCTGCTTGTTAAATTTCTTCATGTTCTGTGTTAGCACTGATGAACATTGTGTATCGTATTAGTTGCAAGGAAAGTAATTGATTCAATTCATACCAGGTGGTGGCCAGAGAGGAACTTCTGTTTGGACGGATAGAAAAACGTTACTTAGTTATCCTCTGTACTGCAATGAACCTGGACATACTAAATGTCTGCACTAAACATCAGTTACATTTCATAAATTCGTGTATTAGCATTTTATTACCGTAGGTCAGGGGTTCCCAACCTTTTCGTCCTTAACCCCTTAACCTACGATTTAGATTCGAAGATATTGGGCCGAAATTGTATACAAGCTTGCGCAGCGTTCGGGATATTTGCAAGACTTGTGTAACACGCTAATCCGGGCAATCGTAAACGTGACAAATTATGTAATTTTCGAAGAAAGTACATAATTGACGATCAACTACCAGAGTCCTGGCTTTGGAAAGAAATAAGAAATAGTCCAAAAATCTGGGACTATACAATGACACCTGTCATAAGAGAGGAAGCCTTATGTAAATTAGGGGGAAGTAGAGGAGAATTTGATATATTTAATCTTCCAAATTGATATTAAGTAGGATCACAATGTCAATATTGTATGTTTGACAGTATTGATGTTAATATCAAGACTAAACATTCTAAAAATAAAGGTAAACGACTTACCTTTTCAATCGATCTTTCTCGTTCTTCTCCAAAGGGATATCCAACAATATTTTTATTAATTACACTCATCACAAAAAAGAGATGCTTCTAAGATAATAAGGTATGTTTAGTTCACTATTCACATTACTAATTATGTACACAATACTGAGGGAAATTTGCCGGTTACATCTTTCATTGATGTGTCCATTACATGTTCTACTTCGGCTGCGTGCATGCACAAATCATGTGTAGTTTGGTAAGAGTTTTAACAATGAGAGGTTCAACACGTAGCATGAAGACCATTCTGTAGAGCAACAGTACGCTGTATAAGCAACAAAAAATTTCCAGCCAAAGAACCATGAAAGTTCTCCTTCCTCCTTTTATCTCTCCAGGCTTTTTCTAGTTGAGCATTACTTTAATATCATAGGTTAGTTATTGCAAAACAAAGACCCAGCTGCTAATCATGATGCTTTTATATGTGCATGCTCTTGCAGCAAGGCAAAACATCCCTCAGATAGGATTGTGTCAGTGATAGTATGCCAATGTGTATAAGTGCACATATTTCTGCTTTATGGTGGTCATGTTAGAAATAAATTATGTCCGTGCATTTGTTTCCAGTTTTTTTTCATCAAATGATAACGTGTCTATTGATACTGCGAATTTCAAATTTCTAGTTCAAATTTCCTTGGTGTTGCAGTTTTAGTATTGATGAATGTATATTTTTGTCAGTTGTGCCATATTTTTGGAACTAATGTATTTTAAAATTGCATATTTGTTTATATATATGTAATGTGTATCATGTAAATAAATGTTTTATTTGTAATTGGGTTTAGATAATTTTTAATAAATTTTACATTAAATTTTACATTAACACGTTTTGTAATTTTAGAAAATAAACAAATTATGCAAAAGAAATATCAAGAGATAAAGAATATAAGTTGAAATACAGGTATTCAAGTAGAACATACTAATTACTTTTTAATTATTGGAAAATTCAACTATAAACTGTTGCTGCTGAAACAAAAGCTGCATATTTACACGACATAAAAAAAATAAACTTTTTAGGTTCTATTAATGGTTTTACTGTAAAATTATTTAAAAAGATTTCTGTAAATTTATTGGATCATCTTAATGTAAGTAATAAACCTAACAATTAAAAAAGCATATTTGTAGCAAAGCACTTTACTTTTGGGATAGCTGTTCGTAGATTTGACATTTAACAGTATTTTAAAGATTTTTCATGCTGCATCTATCTGGATATCCCCCCTTATGAACTTGCAGAAAGCCAACTTTTTATGCAAATCCGTTTACATAAAACAAAGCATGTCATTACAAGAGAAAATATATTTCAGTTTAGAACAATTAGTTGAGCAGTTAAATTATATACTAAATAATGTTAGATGGCAATTCCACTCAGTGGAACATTTTCATAAATACATTAACTTAATGTTATGATATCAAAAGCAGCTATCAATCAATGTTTTAACCTTTTCAGTTAATGCTTGTATATTTCCCAAGATCCAATATCATTTATCTGTGTGTTGATAGCTTTATCTTCAACCAAATTGTCCTATTGATTAATGCCAACAGCTCAGAGGTAAAGTTAGGTGCTAGGCTGCTGCTTAATAGTAAAAAAAAAAATCTGTTGAACATAATTGGAGAGATGCAAAAATAAAAATTTGCACTAGAATATCCCTTAAAGTAATTCCCGAAATGCATAAAAGAAATGCAGACATTAAAATATGGATTAAAATATAGAAATAAGTCTAGATTAGCAGTTCTCAACCTTTTGACAAACATGTACCATCTATGTGGTACCATGTAAACAAAAATTGAAAACCTTTAGTACCACCACTCTTGAACAAAGCTCAGATCACATAAATTTATGAGTGTTGGAGAAAAACTCAATCAAGATGTTAGGGTTTTAATATTTGAATTTAATAGTTTAAAATGTGTTGCTTTGCGTACCACCGGTTGAGAACTCCTGGTCTACATTAAAAATCATAGAAATGAATATTTTGAGCAAAGTAATCATCAAGACTGAAACTATGTTATCTATTTTGCCATTAGGACTTTTCAAAAGGGTAAATTGGAACATGGGAAGTCATTGAGTCAAGACTTCATTTTAGATTATGAGATATGCAAAATCGTTTGAATTTTCCCAGATTATTATCGTACTACATAATGAAAGAAATTTTTGGAAAGTGAACATTATGGCATTGAAACTTTTCATAGGTAACATAAACACTTATTTTTATGTTGAGATATGATAATTAATGCTATTTCTTAAATACCAAAGAACAGTGTGAAGAAAATCGGATTTTTTTTAATATTCTCTCCCCTGCATCAACATTTACCATGCAGTGATCGTTTTTGAAGTAATTAATCTGTAATAAGGTATTACACAGAGTGCATATTTATGCATGCATGGTAACATAAAAACAACATTATGAGTGCAGCTTTTTCCTTTAATTTGTGAATTCGTTTTAATCACTTTAATATGAGCTTACATAAATATTGTGTGCATACTGGTTCGTAATAGATTGAAAGGATACAAGTCCGATGATAGTTTAAAAAAAATTATTTTTATCAAATAAAATGCTTCAGATTACTGCAGTTTTCCACAGAAATATTCATACACATATTCACAGAGTATAATCAATAGTTATGCTTCAAACTACTGCCAAGAACATTCAACATAGTGCAATGCACATCTAAAGAGAAAGCCAACCCAGAGATATCTCAGTTCATGCTGAACTAACCACCCACAACAATAACAGCAGATGCTCTGTCCACCCCTGCATAGTTTTCAACCATCTCCTGAGATATTTCTAGTTCTTTCTGCTTCTTGAAATTACTGTTTCAACTAGCCACCAATATATTTCTATTACTTTCTGCTATGTGAAATTACTCTTTCAACCAGCCACAGAGATACCTCTAGAACTTTCTGCTTGAAATTACTAAAAAGCAATACGAGGGTCGAATTATAGTTGCAGCTAATATAATGATCAATTAAAATACTTGTTATGGCGATACACTAAATTATGGGGCCAGAGTAAAATGTCACTAAGTTTGGTGACTGGGTCTTATTTTCAGCAAAACGTGGTAGTAATATCTTAGTTAAATGGTAATGTATCTTTTATTGGTAAATAATTTACACATATGTCTTGTACATTTTTAATTGGCAATTAATGATGGTAGTTGAATAGAAATGTAACTATTCTTTATAAAAAAAATTCCCATTCCTGGTTTAATAAGTAAATAGTTCTAGTACATCAGAGTGATATTATTCTTTTGTATTGATGATAAAAATCCTGTTGTAAATAAAACAGGGTTCGTAGCGGTCCTTATAAGTCCTTATATTTGAAAATAAAATATAAAGGCCCTTATTGGTGCTTACTTTTTCTTTAAAGCCCTTATTTTTTTGTTTTAGTGCTTATTTTTTGCTTTCAGTGCTTTTTTTTTAATGAAAGCGCAATTTTTCCCTGTACCAAAGCTGAAACTAAATAAGCAACTTTTCTTCCTAATATGGAATATCAGATGGTGAATCATACTCCCGGAAATAGCTTTCCCCCTTTTCCTGCATTAACATAACCTTTGGTCTGCACGGAGAGTACAGACAGGTGCCCGTCGTTCTGTTGGTCAAAGAATTGCGAAAGCAGTTGAAAATTCCGGTATATTCGGCATTCTTTTCCTCCCACCCAAATACTACACACGTTTGAATTTCTATCGAGATCTTAAAAATTTGCATTCTCGTTTCGCTTGGTCAGTTCATATTCGTGTTTATTATGATCGTTATGCTTATATTATGAGCATATGTATGGATGTTTATAATAACATAGTTGCAGTAACTGCTGAAGTATAGTAAACTTCCAAAAAATGGTTGTATTTTAACACAGATTAGCTTTCTAAGGAATAATATTCGGAATGGCTTAAATAAAGAGAAAGTAATCGAATAGTAAAAATAATTTTGTTTTTTTGGCCAATACATTATACAGTATGAAGATTGGGAGGCTCTCCCCTTTCTCCGCAAAATCTCGAATATTGAAACTGTTACAGTTCGCTGCAAAACAAGCAACGTTTTTTTTTTTTTTTTTTTTTTTTTTTTTTTTTTTTTTTTTTTTGGTCACCTTCCAATCTGGATTGAATAGGACTAAAAGTTCTGCAGTCTATCAACTTAAGCGAAGAATGATTCTATTCCGGAAATTTAACACCGTCTGTTGAAAAATAGAATGAAAAACACCCCAGTTATTCAGTTCTTTATTATCCCAATACTGGCAGTTGTTGATTCCGATTGTGTAATATCACGTAGGGAAGAATTACGGCGCACATATTGCGCAATAACGTTTGCGATATTTTGCAGAGATAATTAATTTTGATGTTCGGCCCCAGATTTGTTTATGAACACTTAAAAGAGTTTTCTTGTGCTTGCAGAGCAGAATATTTTTCTGTTATATCGAAATGTCAAAAGCATTTATTTAGCGGAAAAATCTAAAGAACGGCTACAGTCTATCCCCCTCCACTCCTCTTTTTCAAGTTACGCTCCACTGTCCGAATATTCGCCAATTTTCAAGAATGCGGGTAGGTAAGCTTTTACTGTTAAAGGATGACTGCATGAAGCAAATTTTATTAAGTTCCAAGCGAATAGAATAAATATGCCTTATTATTATTTATTTCCTCTATTTTGAACAATTTCATCATTAAATCTTGTAATATAGTTTAGTTCTGCATAGTTTTTTTTTTCCTCTCATTGTAAACTAGTTCTGTAAATTGAACTGTTATTTAAAATTTAAAAAAAAGTAATTATTTTCCATGGTTGAGGTAATGCTTATTCTCTCTTAATAAATTCTGCATTTCTCATATTTTAAATTACGAGTCTAAATTTTAAGGTTATGCAGTTGTGTATAATGCAATTAAACGGGTGCTTATTTTTTTTTTCTTAAAATGTGCTTGAAAAGTGCTTTTTTTTTTAACTAAAATGTGGCTATGAACCCTGTAAAAGTTCAGAAATATGTCAGCACATTAATTATTACTAAGTAATGATGCTCATGATCATAAGATATTGTTTTATCGATACATAAATATAGTTTTTCAGTGCGAAGATTTAACAGTTTTTTTTTTAAAAAAAGAAACCTATATTTTGTGTAATATTCACAGCAATCGTGAAAAGTATTTAAAGATTTCCATTTGAAAATGATTTTTTTCCCACTTTTTGCAAGCTTCACAGAAGAAAACTGCTATACATGACACAGAATGTTAGCATTCTTAATGAAAACCAGGATGCAGACATTAAAGAATGTAAATGACATCATAAATGAGAAAATTTTAGGTTTCATTGTAGAAAGGAATGTATGAGCATCTGGTAGATCACATAGGCTTATGGTATTGGAGCCTCAGTGGTTTATGTTGTTAAATATTCTTCCTGATCAGGCATAATACACTTTATAAATAGTTCTTTTCAAAATTGTGTACTATGTATTCCTCAATAGCCTGAACTCTGTATATATTAAATGTAGCTCATACATTCCTATGCATATACAGTAAAAAGTCGTTAATTCGGACACCCATAATCCGGACCTCAAAAGCTACAAACTTTCTGTGCATGCGTCTTAACGGCTGTGCATATCCGTGTACGCAAGCGCGTTTAATGTATAACGGATGGTGTTGGAAAATATGACTTATTGTAACCCTTTTTCTGCATCATCTCTCCTCCTTGAAATATTTATCTAGTTTAGTTCTTATTTTAAAGGGATATAGTAGTTACTTCTACTTTGCTTTTCACTGCCACTGTTTGTGTTGAGAATGGACTGTTTCAGCCTAATT